ATACTGACTGCAGCACATGGCTTGCTTTTGAAAACAGATCAAGTAGTTTGCACATATCTGCAACACATTGTGAGCTGATCTTAACATTTCATGCCTACCATATTATCAAGGTCATTATCAAATATATAGCAGAAGTGATCTGTATGCAGATGACTGTGAAAATCCTGAAAAATGGAGCTTTGCTGGAATTCCACTCAATAAGGATGAAAGAAATCATCATAAAAAGGTGGAGGGCACCAAAATTCAAGAGTGAATGGGAGGCAAGTGGTGAAATCCAAAATACATACTGTCTTATACACATACCTGTGACAATGATGGTATTGATATTTTAACTTTACCACTTTTCTTTGGCTTTTCTGCATGAATTTTCTCAGCCAGGGGAACATCACAACAACATCATCTGCTTGGAAGATGCTTCCAGTGTCACTTTTTGTGTTACCATTAACCATGGGCAATGATGATGTTACAGTTCTACTAGTTGTTTGATAATCATCCTCATCTTCTATGATATCCACAGGCACTGTCAAAGGTGGGACTGAAGGTGACAGTCCAGAGGGCCTGGTCATTCATCAGGCTCTGCATCACTCTTCATCAGTGCTGTCATACGCTGCCAAGCTTGCCAGCGACATGTTGACTTATCTGTCAGAAGCAAACCACAGTTAGATGAGCCTTCATTCAACTTACAGATAACCATATCAAATTCTGGATAAAAATCATGAAGATAAGGTGATAAGAAAATTCTGGCCAGGGATGAAAGCATTTAAACACTGCTCAATATGGATCGCAGATGGACATGAGTGTAACTATGCCTCCAAGATCACAGGGTGTGGATGAATCCTGGTTGGATGGGGTGGGGGAGGGGGAGGGTAGCTGAAATCTGCAGGGAACAACCTACCCAAAAACGACATTTCAATCGAAAAACAAGGAAAACAATCGTTCCTGACACAAATTAGAGGTAGAAATGTCACACCACGGGAGACGAAGGGGGGGGGGGGGGCTAAAACCTAGGCCCGTGCCGAGGCTATCCAACGCCCCCAGCGCTTACACCCAAGGCGGTATATACTGTTACACCAACGTTTAAAGGTGGGCAAAGGCTGAACGACTCGATGCAGTGGACCAAACCAATATCCACTGCGAGCGACAGCCGTAACGTTCTGACTACCTATAATGACCGTGCGCAACACGCACTCTTGTATACACGCTTCACATAACGTTGACGAATACAACGTGTGAATGCGCTACAAACGCCAACAATCGGTATACTTTGCCAGCTGTTGTCAAGGCCGATAGAGGCCGGTAGTAGGGCCTTGGGCCGGTGTATACCTGCAGCTAGTTGACCTAACATGTGTCGGCGCCTGTGCACTAGACACTTTTAGATGCTGTGAATAAATTATTGTGGTGGAGTTGTCTGCGGCTTCCTTTACTGTTTGCAGAGGTGAAACTCAACTGCAAGATGTCAGGTGCTCTTCCAATACTACTATTGTGTTAACAGAACACTTACAGGCCAAACTGCGGTAGGTTTGCGTGGTTTCTTGAGTTATACAATTGATTGGCTGAGTCAACCAATGCAGTCAACTTGACTCCGTAATTTCAGGTTCTGACGCACGTGTGCAGCCAATATGGTAGTGGGCCCATTTGGCTGCCTCTCTTGTCAATATTTTGCATTTTTTACATATATATATATATATAAGCATACAAGCATATATATATATATATATGTATATATGCTTTCGGACAGAGCCCATTGGGCTGGCTTTCCTCCCAGGTCAACATTTTTTCTTGTTTCACTGTACATGCCTCCATACAGATAGCTGGAAATGTCAGATGCATAATCACTGAGCCCTGTCCCTCTTAATAATATTGATAGTGGGCTTTAATCACTACTTTTGGTGACTACCTGCCCTACAAATAGAATGCCGGATCATGTCTGGTTTGAGGTAAAGATAAAGATAACCTAACGTGCCAGGAGGCAGTGGCATCAGGACTTCTATGGAAATTAAGGCAAATGCCATTTTTACCCTGTGTTGCCAATGCTACCAAAGAGTTTATGGAGGGACATGTCCCCACTATTCATCCTAAAATTGAATTATGTCCCTCCAGATTTACTCATGCAATGCATGTTCCTCAGATTCCCTGCTAATCATGTTATTACTAGTTCAGGCTGTCTCCGGACCCCAGGCTTCATAATCCCATTCCACTTCTCATTTTAATTTCATTTGGTGTGTAAACTAATGTACATGTTACAGACATATGTATCCAGGGAAAGCAGAGGTATTGACACATCTGGTTGGAAATGGACTGTCCAATGAAGAGATCCTGGAACTCCTGCAGTCAGAACAGAAGCTACAGTCTGCTGCAGAAATCATGCAGTCTTTTCATCAAGATGGCAGGCATGAACCCTTAGGCATAATGTTAAGGCTAGGCTCCAGGGGAAGTGGGACATGGTAAGGGTAGCAGGAAACCTGAGTTAATTTTTGCAATGAAATCACAGACTTATGCTGTTAATGTTTTCCTCAGTGATGTCCAGCATTAAGTGCCAAAAGGGGATGTTAAATTATAACTTCTGATTCCTGTGCATCTGGAAACACACCTCAGACATGTAGGATGGGACAGCTGTGTGTGTCCATTGCAGGTGTCATCAGATACATGCCCTCTGGAAATATGGTGTGCTGTCTGGATCATCAGTAGGATACTGAGTGAAATCCTCCACACAGCCATTTGTTTGTCCCACAAGTGTTGGTTGGCGGCACCCCTGATATATTTGTCTCGTCAGTAATGCACTGGGCCTGTGATGCTGGTTCAGTGCAGCTCAGACACTGACCTGATGCATTACTTCTGATATATTGTAATAATAAAACTATGATAATGAACAAAATGTATCAGTTACTAACTCTCTCATTGTTAAAATGTTAACAGCTTGTATCAGATTTGTGCCAACCCAGTGGCCATGAAGTGGCTTTTACTGAGACATTTTTTGAAATGCTTAGATGCAAATCTCAAATAGTTGAACAGCTCTGGGAGTTCCTAAACTAACCAAAAGCTGAGCTGACCTCAGGCTCACATTATGATATTGAATGCCTTTGCCTGGCAGCACCAGCCTGGAGGAGGCAGTGTTCATGCAGGTGTCGCAGCTGGACTCGGAGCTGTGTGCTCAGGTGACAGGCATGCTGCTGGAGCTGCCGCCGCTGCGACTGGCCCGCCTGCTGCAGGACGGCGCGCGACTGGGGGAGGCCGTCCGCGCCGCCCGCGCCGAGTACCTTCGCTTCACCGGGGTCAGTGATGCTGTTCCCCTCTGTCAACACCAGGTGACTCAGAACACACAGGACAGGAATGCCTGCAAGTGGCATGGATCTTTCATGCCAGTGTCTTTCCTTGTCACTCTGTCAGTCAGTCGTCAGCATTGTGACCATCCTGTGTTTCTTAGATGTCCTTTCATTGCACATCATTGCACATCATCATTCCATGGGAGCTCGCCAGCATCTGTCTATTGTGCAGGGCGCCGCCGGTACCGTCACCACGAGCGCTGCGACCCCGGCCCCGGAGGAGCTGGGTGACCAGCTGTTCACAGCTCTGAGTGCCCAGCACCCGGAGCTGGCGCCGCAGCTGACCGGGATGCTGCTGGAGCTGCCGACGGACCAGCTGCACCAGCTGCTGGCCGACCCCAAGCTGCTGCAGCTGCGCACCAGTCAGGCTCTGGAGGCCATCGGTCGGTGACCCGTAACGCAGCATCGGTCGGTGACCTGGAGCGGAGCATCAGTCGGTGACCCGGGGTAGACCATCTCTCGATGACCCATGTCCATGACCCGGGATGCGCCACCGGGCAGGAACGGCGACGGCCGGGGCAGACTGTCGGTCAGTGACTCGGGATAGAGGATCAAGCGACATTCATACATGGGCGGTGACGTATGAGGCGGGCAGTCGGACGGTGACCCGGGTCAGGCCATCGGCTGGTGAGCCAGACGAACCATCGGACGGTGACGGGGGACTGCTATGCAGCGTAATAACTAGAGCTGTGACAGATGCGGTGTTCACAACCATATCCATGCTTTTGTGGGTGGTGGTCCGGAAAGGAAGAAGTGGCCTCGCGCGAGCAATGCGTGGAGTGTGCTGGTTAAATTTTCGACGGTTTGCGAGCATATCACTTCCATGGCGATGTTTGTTGAGGTAAATGTTATATAAATGGTGGAAAGGTTAAGTCATGTTTGTACATGCGTATGGCTGCGTGAAAGCTTGTCGCTTGTGAAACTGCGAACATAGGTGGAGACATTCAGGGTATTTTCGCAGGCATGTGTGGAAAGGTAGGGAATGTATTACCTTGCTCATATTGAATACAAGTGTGGAAGACCGCAAACTCCTGCAAGTTAGATTCATGAGTACCGGGGCTAAGTCATGAGTGGCTAAATGCTGCGCGTCCGTATGGGCGTTGGTTTCCGTACTAATAATCCGGCCATAGCCACCACACATAAAGTAGCTCATTTCTGGTGCCAAGTGAAAATCCACTTTATTAACACCAGTCTCTTTCAGTATAAATGATACTGAAAAAGAAATTCTACAGGACAGACTTTGGCAAAGAAAGAATGTTTAGCAAGGAACTATTACGATGGGTGACAGACTAAAATAAATATTTTTCATTTTCTCCGATTTGAGGGAGGCGGACTCACGGGTTCATTAGGTGCGCCCTGGACTAGCACTGCCGCTCATGGACCTAACTGTGTTCAACGCACCCAGTACATTAGCCGGCCCTTGATTACAGATTCGTTATAAGAGAATAAACGCGCTGGAAAACCGGGTGGCCTTCGAAGGCTCAGTTTTGCGTCGTGACTGAAACAATCAAACTGGTCGTTGATGAGGCATCGGAAGCAGATCTATGCTCCAGATTTCTATCCCAGGCGCAATCAGTACGCAGCAGCTACCACGACATCGAATCTTACGCTTTTTCATCAATTCTCACCGCCAAGTCAACTCGCTTTCTGCAGCAAGAAAGTGATGTGTTTTGCCGGGTTGTTTGTTTTGCGCCCTCCGCTGGGATACGGCATTAATAATGAAATAATTGACATTCTTGCATTAACTGTAACTCACTAATATCTCTACCATGATCACGAAGTTTTCAGCATCTTTGTTTGCGTGGAAGTTACGTTTAATACAGCGCGTCGCTTGCGCTGAGCAGAACATTGTTAGTGATGCGATCCCGCTGGTTTTAAAGACTTCATGAAAGTTTTGAATGTCAGAATCAGAGGCCAATAATTTTATTAAGCCACTCTTGCTGATCACAAATGCGTCTACATAAAATACCAGGTCGCAGGAGCGGCTAAATTTGTTACTCTCATAGATAACAAATGATTTGCACAGAAGATGACGAAACTGTAAAGCATGGGAGGGGATTCTGAGTAAAAAGAAGCGAAAAGAACGATGATTTCGGATTGGAAGCTCAACAACAGAAACGAAAAGGCATCCGCCAAGAAGTGCACGCGATTTTGCAGAGTCGGCAGATGTCACTCTCGCGTTGCGTCCATCTGGTTGCACCACTGCGGTTCGCCATGGAGTCAATACTCCCCGAGTTCTGTAGGTGCACCCGATGTTCGCATAAAACATGCGAACCTTCTATCTAAATATTTTTTGCACATGACCGCTGAATAATATCACGGAACAGAGTCAATAAACACCCTAGCCTCACCTGAGCATCTTGCTGCTGGTGCCGGCACAGCTGGCATGCCATCGCTTGTCCGAGACGTCAAGCTGTGTTTTGTTGCATTATTGCAGTCTCCCCCCTGGCGGATCACGTCTAAGTTATGTTTTACTGCGGTTGTGCAGTTTCCTAGGCTGCGTTCAACTGCACCGTTCCAGTCCCCGTCGGGGTCCCCCGTCGTCGCGCACGTGGTGACATGTGGGTTCGTGCTGAGATCCGAGTCTCCGTCCAGTTCATGATCTGCCAGATGTTTACGGATTTCTGAAGTGGTAGCTGTCCGGTGCACTATTTACCGTCAATCCATGGTGCAGTTATTAGGTACGTACGTGCCCTTACGTTTGTTTTGACCTCCCAAAAAAGTTAGTCCGACCACGACCAACGATTTTAGGCCCCTCCCACTGAAGTTTGTAGGCTATGCCCACAGATCCCAAGTGCCAATCATGGGGTGAACGCTTCAGTTGCTCTGTTGTGAAACAAATCACAGCAGTCTGCTCACGGGTTGATACAGGGAAGCCTATACAGGAGCTGTGTGGTCACATGCCATGCATATGTGTCAGTGTCACGCAAGAAAATACACTAAACTGGCCACAACACCGTCAGCTCTATAAAGCAACGGCAGCGCATTAAAGGCTATTAGTAGTCTGCCAATTCACGAAGGTCGGCTCGCTTTAATGACACATCGGACTTTGGATCGACGAACCGGAGTCATGACCCCGCACAAAGCCCTCATGTGCCTCTGCCTGTAATCGTGCTGCTATGTTCCACGGCTCACATTCCATGATAATTCATTTCACTGACCCATCAAGCTATGTCGCTAGCATTCAAACAAATGTATAAAACGGTTAACACGCTCCCGGGTGGCCGGTTGGGTACCCTTTCTTCGGGTGGGGGTGAACTTGACACCCTCTGAGATATCGGGAACTCAGGGAGCTCAAGACACCAAATTCACAGTGTGTTGACCCGTACGTAAACTCACTTGGGTTAAAATTTTAGGTTCCTAAGTCATGACATTAAGGTCAAATAAGGTCAAACAAGGTCGAATTCCAGGTTAGTCTCCGAAGGGTTCCAAGATTCTAGATAAGTGTTCTAAGCAAAAGGTCACATGCTCATTTAAGGTCTGTGACGTTTGACCATTTGAAAGTCATGGTGACCAAAATCATACAAAACTGCTTTGAGTTTTGTATTTGAATAAGCAACAGAGACTACGCTTGGCAGTATATTCCTAAAACCAAATGTTTATCTAGGTCATTCTAGGTCAGTTAATATTCCGACCTTTAAGAAGTCCATGGAAGGTGTATAATGCGGTTCCTGTTACCAATAAATTCGGAACGAGCACCAGAAACTATCTCTTACAGCAAGCCCTAGAGTAATAGAACAGCTTGTTTTTGACCTTGATCTGACCTTCATACCTGACTCTTGTTCAATGCTATTTGTTCAATTGTTGTGTTGCCTGAGAAAGCATTTCAGAGATGTATGGCTTTGTCTAACACTCCGTTGTTGGATCAGATTGAAGGATTCCCTAGAAATTGCCTTCGCTGAAACCATGACCTGACTTTTACCTGCCAAAGGTCAGCTACCCTTACAAGGAACATTCGAATTTTTGATGCCAGATCATTTGCTATTTAATTGTCTACAGCTATGCAAAATTTAACGCGGCTGCGCCGCGCCTTTGGTAACAAGTCCGACAAAACCTTCGGGGGAGGGGGGGGGGGGCGGCAATTTGACCCCCACCCAAGCGCATATGAATGAGTCAAAGTTAGTCAAGTGCCAATGTAATAGTATCAATTTTCATGCGTACTTCTCCATCCAGAGCCAAAAATTCACCAGAAATGGAGAGAATGCTAAACTTGGTGTGAGCAAGGAACCATCGAGCGCCTGGTTTTTCGACAGTGGGTGCATTCTTCTACTTGCTTATGAGTACAATTCGTTATGGTTGCTTCACATCGTTGTTTAAACAGTGTCTCCTGGCATACTGAAGACGATCGCTCTTGAGAGGAAGTAGCCACAATAATTATTCTAAAGGGTGCTTCCACCTATACAGTCGAAACTGGGCTATGCGCCTGTAGCTAGGTAGGCGTTTTGTTCTAGCTAAGTGTAAATGCGACCCGTTACAAATAGCCGTGTTACAAAATTGTCCCTCTCAAGCTCAAAGGTTGCGTTTGAAGAAGTTGTTATCCAGTGTTCCCTATGACTTCAAATTTGACCCGTTTTACATGGTTTTCAGTGGCCTTCTACGAAATGACGATCTTTTGGCAACTCGATCCCAGCATTTTTATATTTGCGACGGCATGATAATCTGTAACAGTTGATGGCGATCGAATGGAAAACAGTCCCAAACAGTCTCTACGGCACGCAATCGTTTCAGACCGTCTGCCTGTGGCTCTACGCACGGGAGGCTGGACACGTTCCTGAAGCCACACCGCAAAAAATTGCAATGCTTCAGTGAGGTCCTATATCTATTAAATGGAAGTCACCGTGCTGACCACACTTGTTATTGTGAGCAACATTTGTTTTTGTGCTATGTTGTGGGCATAATGTGTCACAGGTAGCTGAGCTACTTCTCGATATAGTCTTTATTGCCAATATAGTATTCATCATATTTTGATCCTAAGCCACAACGTGTTTTGTATGACCGGTTTCTGAAAAAGAGCATTGGTAGCTTCCTGGTCTTTTTACTGGCACGTCCATGGGTTCGGCAGTGTTGGGGTTATCTAAGAATTGTTAGAAGGCACGTTCGCATTCCTTCTAAAACCGATCTCACGCCTTTACCTATTCTGGTTGACGCATATGACATAAATCCTGAAACAGCCTGAAAACAAGAGGAGCGACGGCTTCTGCACGCTTGCGCATGATAACCACGCATTGACACCATGACACATTTAGTGACACGTGGTAACATTGACACCTTTACCTACCCATCGTCTCATTAAACGCTGATTCCCACATTAGCCGTCACTCGCGCCCGCGAGGTCGTTTTCTCCCGAGTCAGTGTTAGTTCGCCTCACGCCATTGTTTTCTCCCGAGTCAGTGTTAGTTCGCCTCACGCCATTGTTTTCTCCCGAGTCAGTGTTAGCTCGCCTCACGCCATTGTTTTCTCCCGCGCCAGTGTTTGTTCGCCTCACGCCATTGTTTTCTCCCGAGTCAGTGTTAGTTCGCCTCACGCCATTGTTTTCTCCCGAGTCAGTGTTAGTTCGCCTCACGCCATTGTTTTCTCCCGAGTCAGTGTTAGTTCGCCTCACGCCATTGTTTTCTCCCGAGTCAGTGTTAGTTCGCTTCACTCCATTGTTTTCTCCCGAGTCAGTGTTAGCTCGCCTCACGCCATTGTTTTCTCCCGAGTCAGTGTTAGTTCGCCTCACGCCATTGTTTTCTCCCGAGTCAGTGTTAGCTCGCCTCACGCCATTGTTTTCTCCCGCGCCAGTGTTTGTTCGCCTCACGCCATTGTTTTCTCCCGAGTCAGTGTTAGTTCGCCTCATGCCATTGTTTTCTCCCGAGTCAGTGCTAGCTCGCCTCACGCCATTGCTTTCTCCCGAGTCAGTGTTAGTTCGCCTCACGCCATTGTTTTCTCCCGCGTCAGTGTTAGTTCGCCTCACCCCGCTGTCGCACCTGGTCCGCGAGACCGAAACCGGCTTCCGACCCGCAGCCTCCAGCTTTTTACGATACGATAATTTTTGGTGCTGTGTAAGTGTTTTTGTGGCACATGTGTCATGTAAATGCAGGAAACATAGTGTTGCCTGAATAACGCTGTTTAAACATTGTGGTGTAAATAATGTGGCAGCAATCATGCTTTGTGAACAGTGATGTCATATGTTATTGGAATGTGAGATGGAATGGTCGTGAACGATGTAATGCTGCAAAACTATGTCTCCAGATCAATGCAACACGCATGCTATCGTCTTAAAAACCTTTCAGCAAAGTTTTTAAATGATTGTGTCATGGAAGTTTCATGAGGCTGCGACCGGCGGTGGCGGCCAGATCGGCCACTAAAAGGGTTACCGATCAAATTAAACCAAGCCGGGCCGCCGAAGCCACGCCATCCCGGCTAGTTGACGTTAAAACTCACCCGACTCGTGGCCTCGCCCGTAACTACTATGCAAAACAAAAGCCATATAGATATATAAAGTGGAGGCGATTCAGCTGTTTTAGGACTTAACAGCACTATCTTTTATGACCTTGAAAACAGGTAGCATGTTGAGAATTACCGTACGTATCTATATTAGCCTCAAATAGACAGGAACTTTTTTCACGAGAGCACCACGCGTTGGGACCTTCGCCCATTCGCATTTTCCTTCCAGATGAACAAGATCAACGGCACAAAACCACTGACTAGATTCTGATTTGCTATCCGAGATATCCAACATGGCCCGGACTGATTCTTCTGAATTGACTTATGATCTTCAAGTCAAGTGTACTTTGTCGACTTGGCCAAGTAATAAGCCTACTTGAATAAAATTAATGGTTCTCACTGATATTCCTATTTAACAGCTCCCGTGGACAGTAGAAGAAGCACTAGACACATACCTTATCTGCATGGAGCGCGCACATCAACGATCGCAAATTTGTGATGTTTTGTCTGGTCGTATCAAAGATCAGGAAGACGACAAAGACTCTTTGGATCTTTTTTTGCTATTCAACCCGCCAGCTCTTTAAACCACAATGATTTCAACTTTGACTTTAGATTTGTAACTCTTCGACGCCCACTGTCCGACCACCACCAAATCCGTCGAAGCCATGCCCACCTCGTGGATCCACGACAACCGCGAACCGCGAACCACGCCTCTCAAAAGTGACGGGGGGGGGGGGGGGGGGGCACGGTAGGACTGACCGGGTGACATCACGCCCTACCTATATGGCCTCAGCAGCTGAGTGCGTCGTAAAGCCCCAATGATATGAATTGACCGATCGACATCACCAGCCGGCTGGGAGGCACATCACAATTTGATGCACCGCTCGAACGTTCCGCTCATTCCCGGAGGGTCCAACATATGCCTCAAGTAAGAAGGTACATGCTGCTGAAAAGGCGCCAGCATCCTCAACACACTGTGAGCCGTCACAGGAGGCGTTGACAGATTTTGCATTCATTCCATTTGACAGATTGCATCTCAGAGTAGGATCCAGAAAAGCCTTACACTTCTTGAGCTCTGCGAGCCGCAGAGCCGCCACCATGCGACCGGAGCTCGAACTACATGATCCCAGCGCCGCCGCTGCCCAGCTGCCGTCGCCCCCTGCCACGCGGCCGGAGCTCGAACTACATGACCCCAGCGCCGCCGCTGCCCAGCTGCCGTCGCCCCCTGCCACGCGGCCGAAGCTCGAACTACATGACCCCAGCGCCGCCGCTGCCCAGCTGCCGTCGCCCTCTGCGGTGAGCACAGCCTTCAAGCTGGAGTCGCCAACGATGTCCGAGCTGTCGCACACGACCGGTGACGTGGTGAACAGCAAAGACGGCTGTGATCATGGTGTGTCACTTCAGCCGCTGTATACCCTTTTCCCGTCATTGTAACTCATATCTTGCGTGCCATTAAACCAAGTATAATGTCTGCAACCGTTTCTGATAACTTGAAAAACTGGGATTGCACCTGTCCACAAAAGGGACCCACTGATAACACGCGTAGCTCTGTGCTACGTTTGGTCCATGGTCCTCCAAAAGCTGAGATGATACGGCGTTGGTTAATTGACAACCTATCTAGCAAGCGTCAGCGAATGGAGGGCCTGGCCCCACCAATTTTGTTTTTAATGCATGCCATTGGTATTCTTTTCCATGCTGATTTTTAAGTCGTGGTCTATGCGGACGATACCCAAATCTTAGTGTCTAACAAAATCCCTGCCGTGCCCGGACAACCGTTTGTTTGGACTCAAATTTAAAAAGTCGTGAAGCGTTGTACGTCAACCGACGTCAAAAATTTCCACAAATCTTAAAAAGGACAACGTTGCTGACACCTGGAGCACCACGCGCACACCACTGAGACCGCTCGAAGAGCCTATCGTGATGAAAGGCCTGGCGGGCGGCCAAATGACGTCATACGATAAGTGATGCCGATACTTCATGCGTCACACATCATACGATATGTGAAACGTTATGCGGCACGTGACACATCATACGATATGTGAAACGTTATGCGGCACGTGACACATCATACGATATGTGAAAGGTTATGCGGCACGTGACACATCATACGATGTGTGAAACGTTATGCGGCACATGACACATCATACGATACATGATACTAACCGATATGCGATATTGTGTCGCAGCCCTACGTGATGCGATACGAGGATGTAACCTGGGCTATAGAAACAAAAGACCCAATGTTCGTGCAGCATGTGAAGTACTCACACCAAGTAGCTGTCTCCCTGCGCCCTTCTTAGGTCGAGCTCGGAGGGAGCCAGAGACAAACTCGAGCCACGCACAGCGCGGTTAGCAGTAGTCAAAATTGAGCTTGCCATAGATGTAGTTCGAGCCAATGCTGTCAAAGATGCTGTTCCCGAGGAGCGATGTCCTCGAAAAATGAGTGTTTTACGGATATCACCCATAGATTGAACTTTTGTTTCATCGTGAGGGTTTTTACTAGTTGTTCTTTCCTGATGCTTTATATTCGCTCACAACTGTATTGCACATTTAACCGCACTTTAGTCTCTCTCTCCCTCTCTCTCTCTCTCTCTCTCTCTCTCTCTCTCTCTCTCTCTCTCTCTCTCTCTCTCTCTCTCTCTCTCTCTCTCCCTCTCTCTCTCTCTCTCTCTCTCTCTCTCTCTCTCCCTCCCTCTCTCTCTCTCTCTCCCTCCCTCTCTCTCTCTATCTCTATCTCTCTCTCTATCTCTCCCCCCTCTCTCTCTCACTCCCTCTATGCTTGTCCTTCAGTACCATATAGAACGCGCTTCCTCCTAAATTACTGCCTCTGGTATTGACTCCATCGGAATAAATTGCGGAAACGGGCCACACATTCTGGAGTCGGAATGAGGTGACGGGCCAAAGTTGGCTGTGCTGCTTTAGGTCAGAGTAGGAATCAGCTCACGGGCGGTCATTTGAAGTTGGAATCAGTTCCGCAGAAGTGGCATCAAAGACAGCTGTCGTCACCACTGAACAGCACGCAAGTTCACAAATTACTGAAAACTTACAAGTGGCCATCGATATTGATGATCTCACATCATTCAGTACCTTCTTGTTTGTAAAACCTCGCCAACTGTGTGCGATCAGAAAACAGTCTACAATTATTGCAGTTCGGCCACTTTGTATAGAACGCATCCAATATTCACGCAGCGAACTGTGCACCGATGGGTTCTTATTCTGTATTCGTTCAAACACGTAGTTTCAGCACGCAAACGCCTTATTGACGCCTGTATTTTTTAAGGTCTGCCCTAAAAGAAGGCAGTGTCAAGAAAAATCGTACAAAAAGCAAGATCTTAAGACCCATCGTAGGAAAATTCCAAGAAAGTGCTTTATGGTTATGGTATCTGCGTTTTCTGGAATTGGCCAATGATGCTAGGAAACAATGAAAACCCTGGACGGTGATTTAGGATTTCACACCCTGCGAGAAAGCTTGTATGGGCTTGAAACGGTTTTCCAACCTCTGACTCCACCTCATCGAACTCAGATCAGTATGTTCCAGGGTTCGAAGAACCCTGCCACCTTCCAATCCAGCCAGTTTAGGCTTTTTATCTGAAATTGTGCCTCAAATAATTTCAAAGCAAAAGCTATTTTTCGCACCCGGCTGAAAGCGAGGTAGAAGAGTGAAGTACCGAGATAAATATCGCCCTGATCGCATCGATATCGCCCCTGGTCGCCGGGTGATGCGGCCGCGCCGAACCCACCCTGCATTAATGAGCGGGCAACACCTACCACGTCCGAGAGCAGCACGGCGGGACCGTCGCAACGGGCGGCCGGTGGCGCCGCTCCCCCTCCCCCTCCCCCTCGCCTGGCCGCCGCCCGCTCGCCTTGACTCGGACGGTGCGGAGGCGCCTCTGCCGCCCGCGGCCGTTCACTCTCGCGAGCACGGCCGGCGCGCGTCCCCGCTACCTCCTCGTCACCGGCCAAGAATGGGTTCGTGCCAGCTGCTGAGCCTCGCGCTGCTGTGCGCCGCCGGTGAGTGGACAGCGGCGCGGACGACCCAAGTCAGGGGTGCGGCTGCCCTCTGCTTGTCGTCGGCAAGACTCGTTCTAGTCTTTTGGCAGCCACGCTGTGTGGTGATTGTCTGATGTATAACACCTTTGCCATCACTAATCTCACGGCAGTTAATTGCTATCCATTGCACTCAAATTACATCTGCTTTCTGTTCACCGCGACTTTGTGTGGCCATCAAAATAAAACGCGGAGCAGTCTCTCCGAAACTACATGGCCGCATCGATAGTTAAGCAATTGTCATCTGGGGAGTTTTGGAAGATTACATGACAGATATGAAACTTATATGATAATTTTTTGATATCAGTTTTGAATTAGTCAGCTCTCTACAGCCGAATCATCCAGCCATTTTTATCATACAAATCTAATTACAATAAAACACTTTTACTACCATGGTTTAACGGATTCTTGCACCATAGAAAAGGAAAAATTGTAGTGCATGACTATCCACAGTGAACGTAGGATGAAACAATGTGCGCTGTTCTTCGAAAGACTTGAACATCCGCTAACTAAACCCGTAATTTGTATGTGACCTTTCGCTTTTGCGCTTCCTGGCCTTGGAATGGAACCCCAACGGCATCTGTCTGTCGTCGACCATGTTTCTTATGCAAAAGACATTACCTTACACAACATCCCTACAACTACGATGTATGCTTTAGATATCTGACACGGATTCGTAGAAAGTCCTCTCGAATTACAAATTCAGTGCGGACTTTTTGATGGGACGGATCAATGGGATCAGCACTCACGCCAAGCAATGATTTTTGGGTGAGCCGTGGCCCCACCATCTAGTCGTGAAATTACGCGTCGATGACATCATTCTGGAGCGTTGCTTAATGCGGCGCAACGTTCGGCAAGGAACATCCTCCTACCCTCTGACGTCATCCGACCTTTAGCGCGGCCACTGCCACCGACCGGGACCAACCCAGCCAGGCTCAAATAGCGAGCGGTTATAGTGACTCCAATTCTCCCGCCACGGATAGATGAATCCCGAGAGAGACGCCACATGAGCTGCTGAGCTAAGCAACTGAGCCACCAGGACAGAACCAGCTGAGCTAAGCAGCTGATCAACCAGGACAGAACCAGCTGAGCTATCAGCAATATTAGATGTATTGCGCCGTGTGTGCTGGCGTTGGTACATACAACATTCCAAGCATGTGTGTATTAGCTCTCAACACCCTTCTTTTAACGTGCTGGGTGAGCGGGTATCTGAGGAGACTTCATTTGGAAAACGAATCACTGAACACGTTTTTGACAGCATGACCGAGTTCCTAGTCTATCCAGACCTGCTAAAGCTGTTTACAACATCGGTTGTTCTTTGCGCCATATACACGCGTTTGTGTAATTCCGACGAAGTAAGCCGGTAATGTCGGACAGTTTGCTGGCAATGCCTGCGAGCGGGTCTCTCGGCCGGTCATTGATGAGGAGATCAATGCCAAGTCTGACGTCTCAGCGTTGCGTGATAGGAAAGCTGAGGTGCGCCGCGCGGCAAAGAACCTATCGTGGCTAATAGCATGGACACGATACACGGCACCCGTAATCCTCTAATGCATGGAATTATTGCGAACCAAAGTGAAAGGCCAGACATACGAATCATGTTATTTAAAGGTCTTCTAATTTTGCTGGCTATCATGCATGAAAACCACTCATTCATTTTCGTCCCTGTCGCCGTGCCGCTTAACTCAAAGTCTCGAAGGCCTTCACCAGAACGGTCGATGTTCGGAGCAGAGCCACATTCAGAATAGTCGAGAAAGTCCTTGAATTCGTGGTGTCTCCTCATTTAGCGCTCAAAATTGATTTGCTGAGAGTAATCATACTAGGAGGCAGTGATAAAAGAGAGTATCCCGCCTTTGTAAAACATTAAAAAAACATACTGTAGTGGAACCACGTAACCATTTTCGTCTAATAATGACACTGGGTGGCTCCATTGCAGGACCATTACGGTATAATAAAAATCTCAATTTCAATTACTCTCGAGGTGAATATTACGCTGTCAACGCTATGCAACAGCGCTTCTCCTCTTTCTTTCTTGGTAATCTCAGAGTGTGTCCAGAGTCCGCGATAGCCGCAATAGTCGCGACCGCCGTCGTCATGGGCAACCGACGTCGTCATGCCGACGGCAGAACCCGGTGGGCCTTTTTCATCTGTCACGAGTTAGAGTGACCACTTTTGAGCTCTTTAAACACGAACAATGTGGGTCTGCGAGCTTAAAAGTGGCAGCTCTGCTGGTGTAAATGACGTCAATACAACTGAGCGTTTGTGACTGGCGCAGCGAACGGCAATGATCAGGTGCTGAGAAGCGCATTTGTTGACGCTTTAACCAGTGTGTTGCTATAAACGATGTGGCACTCTATTTTCCGAAGCCAACGTGGGCTTCGAAAAGAGCCGTTGTGGTAAACACTGTAAGGGAGAAATCAAAGCCATAGTATAAAGTTGCCTTGAATTCGCGTGATAATAGTCTCGCGTCTGCATTTCTTTTTCTCTAAGCAGAGTGTTTCAAGCCTCCGTAGCATTTCTCACACAAACATTTTGAAAAATTAGCGCTGCAAAAACTAAAGAAAATATTCGTTGGAAAAGGCAAAGCAAGTAAAACGTACTTATTTCGTGGTGGTGAGCGGGGTTTTTACAATGAGGCTTCTCCCTCACGAGCGGCTACTTTAGCTCAAAATTCTGAGCTCTTCGGAAGGATTGCGGGAAAACTGGTAGGAATGATAAAATCGAACGCGTCTGATATAGCAATAACTGAAAAGTAAGAGAGCGGCACACTCTCCTTATCCACGTAACCGAACAAACATTGCTAATGTTTCCAAAACTCACAAAACTTGGATTTAACCATGCATGTGAACATAAGCACTCTATACTCATGATAGAGGGCTGTTGTGTGGTGGTTGCCGCTGGCGTCGCTCAATAGCCGATCTCTTCCGCTTGCAGCCGCAGCCAGTCCGCAGTCGCTCAACAGGGATGCGAGGGCCTTGCCCCCGCCGCCGCCGCCGCCGCCGCCGCCGCCGTCGTCGAACGAGGTGGTGATAGCCAACTTCAACTGCCTCGAACCCAACGGCACCTACGCGCACGATAACCAGTGCGACAAGTACTACCAGTGCATCGATGGCGTGGCCCAGGAGAGAACGTGCCAGGACGGCCTGCTGTTCCACCCGGAGCGCCCGTACCCCTGCGTCTACCCTCAGGAGGTCGACTGCCTGGCCCGCAGCGGTATACGTGAGTGTTCCTCGGGCTCGGCGGCCCGGCCGCCCGGCGCCATCCGCCGCTCTGACCCCGCCACACCGCCCGTTGATGTTTCTTGTGCTTCGCCCGTTGACGTTTCTTGTGCTTAGTGTCGCGACTCAAAAACAACGGATATGCTTTGGTATAGGTTTTTGTTCATATTTGAGGTTTTTGATGAAAAATCGGCAGAAATGTAATCATTTTTAGAAATGTCTCCGAAACAGGTTTTAGCTAATTCATTTATTCTAGTTTCATTTTAGATTGTTAACATAATGCTTTAAGACGAGCTGCAGTGCTACCAATTTTTGCCTTTATGCTGCATTTTTACTTATTCTCGTCAGAATTTACTACGGAATTCCAAGGACGGTGATTTGTCATTCATTTAATCACGCCGGTAAAAATAGAGAGCAACAGTCAATCGAAGAAAAACTTACTATCACTGTCGTCAGCTTAATAGGCATCACAGCAGAAAGCTGAAACTCAGCCCAGGAAAGCTGTCGTGGATCACACATTTGCTCCGCTAATTCTCCACACAAGTGACCCTAACTAAATGAAGGGATGTGTGGCGATTTTTAGATCCCAAGCTCTAAGATCACTGTGGAATGTCACGGCCCATCAATTTTTAACGTAGGTGGTTAGCTTTTGATGAAGACGACTGGATTACTTACCGATAGAGGCTTGCTAGGATTATGTGGTGTGAGCTCTGTCCACCTTATCGGATGCATGATTCAAACATTTCATAACCCACTTCCGTCACTACCATAGGTGGTGACAAGCACCACACACTACTTCAGGCTCAATGGACTCTGAGCAACGCGGGCTAGATGGGTACACTAAGTGCCATTCACTGTCAGACGCAATTGCGGACCCGGAGGAGGGGGATGGGACAGAGCATGGGGACATGGCTCGCCTTCGGCCGAAGCGGCACTAAAATCCTAATTTTGTGTTCACGTAACCTATTTTATCAAGACGCCCCAAAGCTCAGCGGCGCTACATACAGTCCCAACTCTTCATGTTCGAAGTGGAAAATAGATAACAACTGGCATATAGAAAAAAGTTGGCCTAATCCGGTGGACCGTTCCGATAAAATAGATTTTATCAATTAAAAAACAAGAACTTGAAGAGCGAGTGGCCGAAATCCGAGAAGTCTTTGTGAAGGGGGTGGGAGCTTCCTGGGAGCACCACCGTGAAGCGTGGCCTCCCCCTTGACGAAAGACTGGATCCGCCCCTGGTGGTCAGGTGCATCTTTGGGTAATACCCGCCAAGCAAGTTATAGACATTAAGAAATTTCACAGCTATATGCCAGATTTTCCAACTATAAGCATTGTACTTATCTCTCACTGAACCCAACTTCATGTGCTGCGGAAAATGTCGCAGGAGTACCATTTTGACAAAAAAGCACTTTCAGCTTTTGTATATGGTCGTGAGGTCATGGTCAACTTTTGCACAATTCTGGTCTAGCCAGATATACAGTATTACACTATGTATTCACTCTTTATTCCAAAAGCACCAGACATATTTCTTTCCAACGATTTTTCGCCAGTCCCATTCTTGGATTTACGAATTGGCACTCCGCGGAGTGCAAGATATGCCTTTCCGTTGTCAAAGAGCACCATTGGGAGCCCGTCTATTCTTGTCCTCGTGTTTTGCCACGATAGTTCCGGGAGTCCCTCCCGGCCGTGCTTTCCAGATGCTGCTAATACCCTTAGCGGATGCTCTTGAACCCACCCTCCCACTCACCGACGCCAGCAAGAGGCCAGGACACCAACGGCGCAGTTGGCGCCTGCCTCGCCCAGGACTGATAACCGCAGTGGCTATTGTGCTGCTTCCGTGAGCGAGCTTACCGGGGATGACGCTACCCGGGGGTGACGCGGACCGGGACGCCCCCATGTGCGCCGTCCGGCAGCCGTCCATCCCGGACCGGCAGCCCTGGGGGAGGGGGGGGGGGGGGACTGCGGCGCCATCGCGCAGAGTCGCTGTGACGGGGACGGGTGCGACGGCGACGCGCGTGGGCAGCAGGCGCCGACGCCGCCCGCCGGGCACTCTTTATGGCGTGGTAAGGAGTGGCGCACACAGCGGCTCTCCCGACCTGCGGCGCAGCGAGGCGGGAAATACCAGCGTCTGGCTCGGCACAGAGGAAATGCATTCCTAGTGATCAACTGGCTTTGTGTGCCCTTCGGACGCACTGGCAGCAGAATAGCCTGGGGCAAGGTCAGGGTGGCGTCCTTGGCTGCGCATCTTAATGAGGCTCTTTTTCAAACGCCTTAACCATACGCTGCTGGCAGCCACACCGCGTGGATCTGTTCAGCAGTTAACAGCGTCACTTCGCGATATCGGCTCCGAACACGGAAGATGGCCGTGCCCCTGGCCCTTATCTGTCTGTCGGGCGCCGCTGAGGCGGAACTCAGCGGAGCTCTCGAGCCAACCGCCCCCTCCCGTCCATCAGATGGCGGGGTGAATACGCCACGTGGTGTTCGGACAAAAGGAAAAAATCGATATGGGAACATGGTGAAGAATTTTAAAAATGCAAGCTGGCGAACGCTATTTCAAAACATTAAAAACTGGCGTCATTCCAACGTTGCTCATTGACTGCATGACGAACAGATAAATGAAAACGTTCGAAAGATAATATACCGTTCGAAACGGGTTAAAAGCACACGTACGTTTCGGTTGGTTTGAATTCGGTTTTCTTCTGTTCTGTTCGGTTAGGTTAGGTTTTCTTCGGTTCGGTTCGGTTCTCTTCAGTTCGGTCCGGTTAAATTAGGTTTTCTTCTGTTCGGTTCGGTTAGGTTCGGTTCTCTTCGGTTCGGTTCGGTTAGGTTAGGTTCTGTTTAGTTCGGTTCAGTTAGGTTAGATTCTCTTCGATCGCTTCGGTTAGGTTCGGTTCTCTTCGGTTCGGTTCGGTTAGATTTGGTTCTGTTCTGTTCGGTTCGGTTCGGTTCGGTTCGGTTCGGTTAGGTTAGTTTAGGTTAGGTCAGTTTTATCAGTTACTTATGGCATTTGTCGTGTCGCTTTTCTACAGATCGCCATTCGTGGCTCGCAACTTGGTCTATTCGTCAATTTGTGACGCTTTTTATCGCCGCCGTTTAGCATTCGGCACCCGAAGGTCAACAAAAAGCCGCCCGTCGTATTCACATTTGACCTTTTTCTTCCCAATGCGGTTTCATGTCGACTTGCTCGTTGGGCAGACAAAGGTATCTGACCTCGTGTAGCCTGGAAAGCCACAGGTGCCTGGCCCCATGTGGCCTGGACAGATACGGGTACCTGAACCCGTGTGGACTGGACAGACACGGGCACCTGACCCTTTTTGGCCTGGACAGACACGGGTATCTGACCCCGTGTGGACTGGACAGACACGGGCATCTGATCCCGTGCTGGATTGGCATAGCACGGGTATCTGACCCTGTGTCACCTGGACAGACACGGGTATATGAACCCGTGTCACCTGGAAAACAGATGTATCTGATCCCATGTCACATGGACTGACACAGGTATCTGAACCCGTGTCACCTGGACAGGTACGGGTATCTGACCCCATGTCACCTGAACAGACGGGGATATGAACTCGTGTCACCTGGACGGGTACGGGTATCTGACCTCGTGTCACCTGGACGGACACGGGTATCTGACTCCGTGTCACCTAGGCAGACACGGGTATCTGACCCCGTGTTACCCGGACAGACACGGGTATCTGACCCCGTGTCACCCGGACAGACACGGGTATCTGAATCCGTGTCACCTAGACAGACACGGGTATCTGACCCCGTGTCACCCGGACAGACACGGGTATCTGACCTCATGTCACCTGAACAGACAGGGGATATGAACCCGTGTCACCTGGACAGACACGGGTACTTAACTCGTGTCGGACGGTCGGGTACGCCTCGTGGGAACAATAGCCGGTAGCGCAGTCCGTGTGGCAAGCTCGCTGACGCAAGCAGGACCGGTGGGCGGCGTTGGACGTGAACCGTCACCAGCCAGCCTGGGACGCGCCTGATTGTCGCGTGCGCTGCGAGCGTCAGACTGGCGGAGCGGGTCCTCCGGTCCGGAGATCGCTGACGACATGCCAGCCATCTGATCAGACGAAAAGCGAGTGCTGTTCGAGTGGTTTATTTCTGTTAAGGCATTCTCTAGCTCAGAATACGCGCATACACAAACGTGAAGTGAGCCAGAACCGCAGCTGTGCGTCGCTGGTTCCGAGTCGATCCTAACTCGCCACCAAATGGTCAGCTGCTCCGCACAACAAAGCATGGCCCAGAGCAAGTTTCAGCATGCTGCGTCGATTCCAGGGTCTTGATGTAGTTATCACGCTGATGAGACAGCGTTGTTAACGAGCCGTTTGCACGCACCGTGTGTAAAAACATGCAGGGAATAGGGGAAGCCACTCAGCCTGTTTGATGAAGCACGAAGGGAGCAAGCCTGCTTTACTGCCCTCAGGCAGTAATGGAAATAAAAGGGGTTAGTCATTACAGTGACGAGAGTGGATGAATATAATCGAAAATCAGCTGGATAATCAAAAGAAAATCACGCGGACAGTCCTGTTTTAAACTGGTAACGTTGAAAATTCTGCACATTTCTTTATTATAATGGGCTTCATTTAACCCTCGCCTTGAGGGATTTTTGTTACATTCGTCTTATGGGGACCTCACAAGTACCCTAAAATCTCGATGAACTAAGCAAGCTAGAGCCACAGGGAAAGCGACATCAAACATATCTTGACAAACAAGCTGCATGCGATGGGTGGTGCTGAAAAATGATCAATATAGTCTTTGATAGGTCAAATTAGGTCATAAGAATCAGATTGGTTTAAATAGGTCATACAAATGCCTAAGAACTAAACATGCTACGGAAATGTGGAACACAGCGTTGGATATCTCTTGGAAACCTATACCTGATAGCCACTATTGGCCATCGACACACGCTGACCATGATATATCATACCAGGTCAAATGAGTGAAGGTCGGACCGTGTCGAAGGAGCGTTGCATGAGTTCGTCGGGCTATATTTAGAACTAAGCCCACCATAGCAATGGGTAGAACAGCGTTAGAAAGACCTTTCAATGCGGCAGTATACTTGTCATTTACATTTAACAGGTAAGAACTTAAAAGGGTGAAACCTGGTCACAAAGGTGAAACCCTGACGTAGCTTAACCTTGAATGTCCTGCTTTTCAAAAAGCCCATCAGCACAATAGGAGCGCCCTTTATAATGGTAATAGTACGAAAATGAGCCTTGAAAATCCCTTTGTAGCACATTTTCTATGATAAACAAGTGTGATATGTTAGTTTACAGCAAAATGTCGCGAACATCGCCCCAAAAGAGGTCATATGTCTGAACAGTAAAAGTGACGCTTCAGTATTTCCAAGACATAAGCGGGGTCATTTTTTCACTACTAAACATTCTTCCTGAAATCTGTCTGGACTCCGGATCGTCGGCGTACTGGCCAGCCCCAGGCCGCTGTGCGGACTCTCTGTGACCGACGCGGTTCCGCTTTCACGCTCGGCCTTGGCGACGCCCGGCTACTGCTCGTCTGCCACTGAACACTCGGGCACAGATCCCGACCGACCTTGAATTCCAATGGACCGGGAGCACCCGCTCGGGGCCTAATCTCCAGGCTGGGCACTTTCTATTTGCCTAACGGTTACCGGGCGGCCGCGTGTGCGGAGGTCATCTTCGGTCAAGAGCCGCTGACGACTCACCGGCCGGAACTTCCCCGGTGAAAGGTCATCTCCGCATCTGGCACAGGCATCGATGTAATACTATATCGCTAGTGCGGAAGGGCTTCTGTTATAACGAACAAAACAACGAGCGATTGGTAGTCTCGAGATTTGACTGAGATAAGTAAATCCTTTCAGTTGGGACAGAATTGGCAGAATGAAACATGTTGTAGACCTTAGTCACCACGAAGTCCTGTCCTCCCAGCATATTAAACACATGTTTGTATATTCCCCAGGAAGTTCTCTTGACACGTCAAGGGTGCTGTGAGATAGATATGACAGTCCATGACCTCCCCTTGAGCATGTGCTATGCAGATCCACACAATTATTTGCACGTGAGCTTCTTACGTGTGACATACTCAGGCCTTGAGCCTCGAAAGCGTCCTATGACTTCGTCTGGAGTCCATCAGCGCAAGCAAGCCCCGACCCATCCAGCTCAGCCTCTGATTACAGCTGTCTGTTTTTGCTATTCTCGGCATATATGAATTGTCTGGCTTCACGATGGTCCAAGGACACGTCATGGGACCGATGCATTCATCAAGATAATGGTCTTTGCGTCCGACACGGCACTCTTACAGCTGGTCCTTGCGTGCGCCGTGGGGTCCAGGCCCAACTCAGTATAATGCATCTGTCTCTTGTCATCTGTGTCGCCGCTTCTGAATCTTCTGACTTCAGGATGATTGAGATCCAAGGCATGAGGTCGCTGCATTCATCAAAATATCCTTCGCGAGTCTGGTACAGTTTTTGTGGTTGCTCTTTACATCACACTCAGCATCTCAAAGAAGATCACGCGTCGTGCGTGTTGTTTCCAGTGTGCTGAAGCCCGTTCTGGAACGTTTTCGACGCGCGGCTTGACGTACCGATGCTTTCCCATCGATGCTTTGTCACCGATACTTTGTCACCGATACTTTAACACCGATGTTTTGTCACCGATGCTTTGTCACCGAAGCTTTGTCACCGATGCTTTGTCACGTATGCTTTGTCACCGATGCTTTGTCACCGATGATTTGTCACCGATGCTTTGTCACCAATGCTTTATCACCGATGTTTTTTCACCGATGCTTTGCCACCGATGCTTTGTCACCGATGCTTTGGCGTCCGATTGAGTCGACCCTCGCGCGAACAAGCCTCCGAAAGACAGCCGTGCATGGCGCTACGTCGGCTGTTGCAGAGGACCCGCAGCCGACTGAGGACTGTCCGCGCCAGTTCGCACTGTTCCGCACCAGCGACGCGCCGGCGGACTGCTCCGGCTTCACCAGCTGCGTCAACGGGAGGGCGTTCCGCGCCGACTGCCCCGAGACCCTGGCCTACAACGCCCGCACCCTGCTCTGCCAGTGGGCCGACGAGGTGGAAGACTGTGACGCGGCAGGTACGGCTCTGGCGACGGCGCGCGGCCGCGGCCCGAACCGGGTCAGGGCCGGAGGAGGCGCCGGCCGTCCCCCTGCCGCCGCCGTCGTCGGCTGATGGCGGCGGCGGCAGGCCTCGGGCGGCAGGCTTCGGGTGGGCGGCGTGCCGCGCTCCAGCCACGGAGCCCGAGTGGCGCTGCGGGGTTTGGGCGCGTTTGGGCGCGCGCGTTGACGTTTGAGCGCGTTTGAGATGCGTGGTAGGCCTCCGTCAGCGTGGGGGACCGAGGGCCGCTGGAGTGAATGTGACGGACACGGCGCCAGTCACGTGGCACCCAGACCAGTGTCTTTCTTCACCCGACCCACCGGTGTTGGCAACAGGTTATGCTTCGGGATAGACCCGTCTTTTTGATAACAGAATCCGGCTGATCCCTAGTGATCGCTGGATCCTGATGATGGGCTTAGTCCCATCCAAATGCAAGTTTTGTGGGTCAGCAGGTGTTGTGCAGGGACATCTGCAGGCAAAATGGAGAAACATTCGTTGCGTGCCTGGCTCCCAGAGCACAAAGCCTGAAAGATGACACTGGAGCTGCCATCCGAGGCTGTTCGCGATCAGTTATTGACATTCACGCACTTGTGGCATTTGCATTACGACTTGCCGAAATCCCTAAATGAGCACTTATTCTTGGAAAGCAACTGAATTACTAAGTTGCCTGAGAGCCTGCAGCAAATTTGTCCACACCTACGGCCGTAACATAGCCATCATACCGTATGGAAATCACATAAATCAAACGGTAAGTTTACCACAGGCTTAAGCCCTAATCTTCCTTTCCTCGCGGCGTGCATCTGCAATGACCGAATTTGGCAGCAGACTGGAAAACCTGTAAACAAGGCATACCACGCTGCATGGACCGTTCTCATCATGTTTATTTCTGTGCACCATAATTCGACTTCAGGAATGCTACGATCCAGCCACAGGGCTATTATCACAGGCGGATAATGACCCCGACTCAGCCGTTTCAGTCTCATGCTCAGCCGATAGCTGCACAGGATTGGCGGATGCCAGCTCTGACGTCGCGGCTCCGGCAGGTTACCTGGGCTTCCAGTGTCCGGCGCAAGAGTTCTCGCCCGATCAGGTGGGCGAGTTCACGCGGCAGCCGCACCCCGACGACTGCACCAAGTACTACATCTGCCTGAACAAGGAGGACGGCTCCGTCAAGCCACGCCTGCAGGGCTGCCCCGAACCGACCGTCTTCGACCCGGCGAAGGACGCTTGTAACGAGAACATTGAGGAGGTGCCCGGATGGTAGGTGCCCGACGACGCCGCGCGCCACGTGCGCGCGTGAATCCTCGCAACAGTCACGCCTGCGCAGCTGAGCTGAGAAACAAACGATGACAATTACTCTCGGGTCAGGACCAATAAGTCTGTTTCATTTTGCTTTACCTGGAAGCCCGCGTGGATGCCAATATGCATGCCCACTAGAGACTCGGAAACTGGTTCGGATGCAGGCACATGTAAATCATTTCATGACTTTCAACTCTGCTGATACTGTGGTCAGTAAGACCGTCTCAGACAGGCCTGCAAGCACACCCTGCTCTTTTGCTGCTTTGACAATCGACACTGGTGGCGAATATCTATCTCACGATCAGCGTCAGCTGCAGCGACTCTGTGGCCTCGGTGGGGTGAGAGACGTGAATGCTGAATTCACCGGGCCTGCAATATGACGAAATGTGCTTCCCACTCAGCTTTGCTGAGAACTCGACCATATCTGATGCGGGAGCAAATTCGCGAAGACCGCACGCAAGGTTTGAGGCGCTGTTTCGGAACAGTCCCTGAACAAGGGAGACTCGGGAAAGTGAGGAAGCGTTTTCTGATCTCATATCACACATGCCGTGTAAACAACAAACACATCATTTCTAGGACAGACGCTTCCGTGATCCCTCACGTGCCAACAAAAGTCTTCGACATGCGTCCAGACCAAGCGCGTGCCCTGTTTACGACAGCTGACCTACCCGAACTTGTTTACAGCGAGAACGCCATCGCGCCGGAGGTGCTGGCCGCGTACCGGGATCGGCAGGCGCAGGAGGACGCGCGGCGCGAGGCCCGACTCCAAGAGGTGCGCTCCACTCTCGACGGCTAGGCGCGCACAGAGTACGCGCGAAAAGGTCCGAAAGCGCACCGGGAACGCGCCGAAAACGCATGGAAAACGTGACGGGAAAGCATCGAGCGGTCATCAGAAACCTGCCGGAAACGGGGTTTCCAGGAACGCTGGAGAGGAAATTTAGTGCGACGATGCGCAGCGAGACGCGTTAAAATTTGTGAGATACTATTGGGCCATGTGTGTGCTAAAACGCTATAAAGCGTTATCAATTCTCGGAGTGAATGAGAAGCAATTAATTAAGGTTAGGTAATGTATTTTGGCTGACAAGTGAAGACGTAAAATACACGGATGTTCGTTCTTTGTTGGCTAAAAGGTCTTTTCTCCTATGCGGCACGACAAAATAATGACACCATGGGAGCAAACTCATTTTATCAAATGGCAGGCTCAAAGGTGGTTTTGTCGTTGAACATATCACAAAGAAACAAGTCGCACGGGTTGTTGCCTCGGCGCACCGGTAGTCAGCGTGTACGGCATGTTCGTTCTTCTTGTCTGTTCCTCACAAAAGAATATCACACCCATAAAAAAGCAATCGCTTAGACTATTCACCATGAAAATAATATCCAGCTCAGCTTATATTCATGCATAGCTTTCAAATTCGAGCCATAAAATATTCGTGCATGCGAAGCGTGCGGTTTGAATTCCTTTTTTGAAAATCGTTGTTAACTTCGGTTTTTCTCTGTTGCCTGTACCACAGGTCAGATCACATACCGGTGATAACTCGTGTTTAGAGACCATGCGAGCAGCTGACGTCAAATTCAACATCATGCAATTGATATGCAACGCCCTGCAATTCGGACGTATTTTAGCTGGAGGGCTCTCAGCCACAAACCACAGCGCCCACATAGAGTATGCTCCGAGCACGGAGTCACGTGGATGACTCGAGTCAGGTGTATGACTCCTGGTATCACCGCCCCGAGGCGCCGCACCCCAAAACCACGGCATCGCTAGCGCTTTGATCCGAACAGCTCAGGCGAAGCTCCTGCTAGCAAGGCGGCAAGCTCCGCGGTGCGAAGCGTACCGGGTACGTTATAGGTGGCGCCATTATACTTCGATTCACGAACGTCTTATTTTCAGACAAGAGTGCAAGACCAGCATCAGGGGGAGGGGGAGGGGGATCGGTATCAAGGTAAGCATAATCGGGTTAAAGGGTACGGCAGCAATGATCAGAGTGGGCACAATGCAGCTTTCAGAGCAAGGTCGCGCTGTCGTGACTATGAGCTCTTTAGTTGAAAATGGATGACCTTTAGTTGGCCAGGAGAGGCTGGTTAAGCGATGCTATCATAATGTATGATGCATATTAAACTACGTCCACATTGGGCTGTTTGGATTCACGTTATTTCATTGAATTCGTGATGATTAACACGACCTTGAAACGGCGAATATATTTTTATCATGTATACCAACAATTGCTGACGAGACTCGGCCATTTAACCAATACCTCTTGGTAGATTGTTGCTAGTCATTTTCAAACAATAACTCAGATTGAAAAAAATACTAGGAGCTGAGAGCTGAGCTTTCTTTTGTCACATCAGGTCGTGCCGTCGGTCAGCCTGATTGATGACGTCATCATCGGCACCATCGGACGTGGCACTAAGCAGGGCTCCGCGCCGACTAGCAGTCAGCACTGCACTGAGCAGGATATGCTCAAGGACAGCTGCAGATGACCTTAAGAAACTGACTTCCGTGCGGCGAATAATTCACAAGCAGAACTGACGGGACTCAGCCCAGCTTTGGCGGCACCGCCAAGACCAATCTTCTTCGGCGAGGTTTCAGAAGCGCCAGGACCATTTGATAAGAAGTGAGCTGATAATTTCTAAACCCACGTTTCAGCTGAGTCCTAGTGAACGAAGTTTAGACTCCTGCATACTCGCATGGGCCTGCGCGTGCAGTGGAAACAGATGAAGAACATGCATGCACACAATGGTAACAGATGCTCTCACATCCGTTATGACATTGCTCGTCCTGCTCCAAGTTCCAATGCGCATTGTGTCCCACCAGTTGGTATGGTCCTTTTTTGCCATAACTAACCGAAATGGGGAAAAAGATGAGTAGCCACAAGTTTGATTTCACCTTGTGTTTCTTAAACTTCTGAAAGGTGTCTTTTTAGTTTTAAAAAAAAAAAAACATTTAGTCACTTCTGACAAATACTTTTGGAAACAAAAGGGGCCGGGAGGCGGGACGAATGACGTGCCGTACAACAGGCACACCAACATTTTGCATTTCGCAACATATAACTTCATACAACATATAACTTCCTCCAATGCTCGTTTCTAAAAAGGAAAAATGGCGCAATGACAGTCATCCGTGTGCCCATGCCAGCCCTGATAGGTTACACGAGTGATAAGTACCTTAGCCCGCCATGAAACACTTCGTTGTGGTGCCGATAATCTGGTCTGGGAATGTAAATTACTTCAAGTGGAACCTTTGAGGCATTGAAAAGCTGTGAAATGACAGCACTGTGAAGTATGAGGTGCCTGGCGGTATGCTATTTATGCATGCCTGGCGGCAAATCGTATCCAGGTCACATTATGCCACCTAAGGCGTCATTTCCAAGGACTTACAGTGCAGCGCCATTATATGCTTGGTTGTCACTCCTCCATGGCTGTGAATCATAACTTGAGTCACCAAGTGAATGCGTAATGATACTCCTTAACCACCCCATTCACTTGTAGTACATTGATTATAGCAACGAGATCAAACGAGACTAATGAACCGTGGTTAGTTCTTTTCCCACGTATCGGTTATGAACTACTCTTTTGCACTGAGTCTAATTCGTAGCAAAATTTAGCGTCCGTTCGGCATTAAGTGCTAAGAAATTGTAATAAAATAAAGTCGACGTTCTAAACAACTTCACTCATCACGTGGTGAGACCAAAGCCGGCCTCGCGTCTTGTCAGGTCAGGTCGTTCTCGAAAGGTTGCGCAAGGTGCCTGCTGGTCTCCTTACTGTTCCGCGTGTGTAATGCACGGACTTTGGAATTTATCATGGATTTGCACCAAGCTTCAGCCAACAAGCTGCACGAAAAATTATTAGGAGCTCGTTGGTCTCCAGCCACTCAGAGCTCAAGCCAGGTGAATTAACTCGCAGGTCTCAAATGATGCGACGCGACGACAGTTTTCGTCCAGCGATGCGGATATGTTGAGAACTTTTCAAACGTATAAAGCTAGCGTTTTGACGTAACAGAGTAGCCTCAGATCCTGTCAGATTACGTGGGTGTAGGGAGCGATAAAGATTCATAGTATCAAATGCATGAGAGCATGAAAACAGAACATGATCACCAGAGCATAGCTCGGGCCAAGTCGGATCCTGGGGCCACGCGAGGTTTAAGTAAGTCGAGCTTCCGAGGTACCAGGTTCAAGCGAGGTCAATGAACTCAGATTATCTGATTTGACCGAAATGCACTCCTCGGCCAGCTTTCTGACCAACAAAGCGTCATTTTGCCTCACTTGAACCGAAATGCATCATGTCCGACCCAAGTCTTTACTAAAACAAATCGTTGTTTTCGAGCAGGCGGGCACTGAATCCATCCTGGAAGGTCGCAGGATCGCCTGACATGATCCTCTCCTACGTCATTTGCATACGTCACGCGTCATACGTCATCTGATGCGCGAGACATAGAGAAAGGCTAAGGTGTCATTGCCGTGGCCCTACGTTGCGTGGCTGTGCCTCATTGGCTAGCGAAGTCTGGATCTTCATAATTTGGCAAGCTTTCAAGTCACTTTTGTGACCTGGGAGGCCATCTGTTCACCGAAAGCCAACGAAACCGGACGCCACTCGAAAGTTCACACGACAAACAGCACGGCCATCTTTAACGCATTGGTCTGTCTCGCTGAATTAGTGATCAGACGGGGAGGCGAGTGATTTTGTCCTCCGGCAGGACGAGGTAATCAGGAAGATGGGACGGTGGAGTAGGAGTGAACTGATGCGGAATACCAGTGGTTGGACCTTAATACATAAAGGCATACAGCTGATGTCGCGTAACGACCCAGTGCACTCGTGTTCTCACTCGGCTGGATGTAGCCAGCCGTCGTGGGATTTCTCAGCCATCACGCCATCTGCGGCACCCCTGCCTCACGGTCGCGCCTTAATGGAGGACCAGCCGGCGAGGACACCAGAGGTCGGTCCGGCGGTGACCGGCGCGGTGGCCGGCGCCCTTGTAGCGGTGTCGGGGTCGACACGGGGCTGGCGCGGGCGGCGGCCGCTCCGCTGATAGCGGCCCGTTACCGTGGCCGGACGCGCCGGCCGGCCGGCGGCCGCGGCGACCGCGCTCGACCTTCGCCGCCGCGGCGCCGGCCGATCTGGGTTAGAGGCGCGCACGCGGCCCCACAGTGCACCGCACCGGCCCAGACATGAGACACCGCCTCTACGCCGCCCTGCTTCTGATCGCGCTCGGTGAGTGGGGTGCCCGCGGCGCCCGAGGCGTGACCTCTCGACCGGCGGTGGTTGTCGCGCTCTGGGAGGCGGCGCTGCGGCGGCCGATGGAGTGCCGTGTCAGCGCTGTGAACTGAATGACCTAACTGACCCACCTGTCTAGCTGTGCTTTGCTGTATGAGGTAAGGATGTGCGCATAGGTTTCCGATTTGCCATGCGTGGGGAGTGAGCGCCTTCACTCAGTGTGCAGGAATGCGCTCCACAGTGCAAGTGTGTGAAAAATGCTGTCATCGTGACCTGCAAGAAGTGTGCATATAGTGCAAGGGAGTGTTCCACATTTAGATCGGATTTTTAACTGAAATAGCCACATTGAACACGAGAAGAGGTGTATCGGGGAGAACATCTGAATGTCACCTTGGCATTTCATGACGCCATAATAACGTCGTTCAAATCCTGCCATTCCATAAGCCATGCGAAGATCAAGGTCAATGCAAATGTAATCTTCAAGGCGTTTATATCTAGCATTCTTGAGCGCGATTTCCAGATACAGCTGGTTCTCTAGCTGTATCTGGAAATCAGCTGTATAATATCAGCTGGCTGGTACATGTTGTGCAATGTACAATGACGTGTTCAAACCATTACGTATTGCGAAGCATATTTACTACACAGATAATTGCGCTATTTAAAGCAGTCTTTTCCACTTCAAAATTATACTAATAGCTATAAGTGAGCTTGTCTCATCATATATGATGCTTGCCTCAATGTGTTCAAATTGTGAAACAGTCCCTGTCAGGCAAGTATCTACCGACAGTAGTCTTTCTTGAGCTGAATGTAACGAAATGATGCACCGTCAAATAGTGGCTTCGTGTTAACAGCAGCAAAAGATCTGCTTACTCAATCGGATACCACGCTGCCCTTGGTCCAATTAAT